AGTACTATGTCACTGGCATGGGCTTGTTGTACCACAAGCACTGTCTGCAACCTTTCAACAAACACACACAAAGATGAACCAGAAGTGATTCGGCATTTGATGAAGGAGATTCTACAGATAAAAAGCACTAGTCATTCATCATGCAATGGATAATCTTAACTACCTAGAAGGAACAGAGGATCAAGATTGGGATTTATTAGAGACAGTGATTATCCTATTTTCCAACCAGTTGTTGAGTGGGAGGGACTACCTATGTAGGGTGCGTACAAGATGTTGACGAAGAAGATGAAGACAATGACAATGAAATAGTGCCAGACAGTGACGATAATGGCGAATGAAAATTGCTATTTATTTCTTGGGGTGTATGTTAAATTGTTGTATTGAATCTTTAATGCTAAATATCAATTAGATTTAACCCCATTGAAAACATAATTTTATTTCATAATTTTGCAAACTGAAAATTTACAGATATTTAGTACAAAAAAATACTACGTTTATCCTTGATAATAGGGCACATTGGATGAACTGCCACCTGGAGCTGAATTACCACCGCTTTTCGAACCAGTTGAAGGATATTTATGGCGGTCGTGTCCTGTTTGGGAACATATACCACATTTACGCGCATAAATGGTATCACCAACATATATTTGGTTCTGTATCCTCGTTTTTTTTTGCACTTGCCGTTGACACACATAATCCTTGTTACACACCATTTTAAATGGTTCCGGCGGCCAATAATGCTTAGCACCCACTGGCTGTAACTGTACACTATATGTGTTTAAGTATACAACAATACTATATTCTTTATCAACGTACCTCGTTACCGCAAAACCTGTATGTTGAAAGCACTTCATGGCAAGTGATAGATTGACCTTTTCCACATGAGCATAATCTTCTGGCTTCATTGACGGTGTGTGTATTATTCTCGCAGTTGTGATGCAGACCAGTGTGAACTTCAAAAATATTTCGCTCGCTGCAATACTGCAAAAATTAATGCCACTGTGCTCGCTTCCTATATTTCTCAAATCGTTTCATTGGTTGGGGCGTAAATTCAACACCCCTTTCCAATAATGACGATGCACCTCTAGATCTTTCAACAAGCATCTCCGCCATCTGCTTGAAAGACATCCGCACCATGGCAGTGACAGGAAATCCACGTGCAAATTTCAATAACACGTTGAAAGGCTCTGACACATTTATAGTCAGTATTTCCCATCTTCTACCACCATCTTTGTGCAAAGTCCACTTGTCAAGCTCATGTCGCATCAACCAAAGATAGGCTTCTGGGTCTTCCTGCCTAATCAATTCCATTCGCCTCCTGAATTTACACTCTTGGTGATTTGTTACAGCCATCCACATTAAATCATGTAAGTCCTTTTTCGGATAAGCCCTTTGGAAGTTGGCCTTCAAGTGCCTAACACAGTAATAGCAGTAGGCATACGTTTCCTACCATGCACGCAAATTTTGTACAGAACTTAAAATAGCGCCATGCCGGTCAGATATTAGACAAATACCTGAATGTTGTTTGATAACGTGCTCCTTCAAGTGGTTCAAAAACAATGTCCACGTTTCTTGGCTTTCATTGGCACAAATAGAAAATGCTATGAGAAATATACTTCCATTAGCATCTACTGCAACGGCGATCAACAACTTAATATCATACTTTCCATAGACATGAGTGTCGTCTATGGATATTACCGGCCGACAATGCACAAAACCATCAATGGCTGGTTTAAATGACTTGAACACATATCTGAATATGCATTCTAGTATTCTTGGACTCTGCTCAAGCTTCCATTCAACAATAGTCCTAAGGTTAAAGTTTTGCAATGCAGCCATGTACTTGGGTAGAGCGGCCAAGGACTTATCCAAATTACCATAAACAATTTCAAACGCATGTTTACGCCCGAGAAATGCTTTTTTTTTTAGTAATGGTACATCCATATACCTGGTGGACAGATGTTATACACTCTTTGATCATGTATCTTATGGACGCTTCAATGTGTGGAATCAAGACAAGAGAAATCAAGTCAACATTCAAGTTAAAATAATTTCCACTAAATGTGTCTATTTCACAATTGTGGGTGCTAATGTATTTTCCCACAATCCACATATTTGTTTTCAGCTTTCTTGCACGCAGCATCCAATTACAACCTTGAAACCATCTACGATAAATAACCTTGTATACTTCCGGAGATGACTCATGAACCACGATCTCACGACACTCTTTTATGTAATACATTCGCATCGCCCTACTTAGGCGTGCTTTATCAGCAAAAAGCATGCCCATTTGACAACACTGTCGCCCTAGATTCATCCCACATTGCTGTCTGAATTTCGTCAAGATCCCTTGTGAGGGCATCCACATTCGGCATGCTTGGAAACTGATCAAGGTAGGGAATCACCCTTGAATGAAACGACACATGGGACTCGTACACACTTGGTCTAACGGGAGGTAGAGCATGCTCCCTCATTAAATTAGGTTCATCATTCTCGTCCTCATCATCATCACCCTCATCAGGGAAGGGTATATCATCTCCAGACTCATCAGCATTGTTGTCATAATCACTATCATCTTCCCGACTCTGCGCATCTGCCAAATCCCGATCAAATATTTCATTTTCGGGCAATTGAGCAAGGATAAGACCTTCAAGTTGCTCGTTTTCACTGCACAACCAATAAAATAATGAGTTTCTCAAATTCATCCAAACTTTACATAAATTTTTTATCACTTAACTTACAAATCAAAATGTGTTGATATCCCATGATGCACATTATCCTTTTGCTGATGACTCTCGGATGAACCACTATGATCCAACACACCAAAACTAGGCATATTCTAACTGTTTGTTAGTTCATAACTTGTAAAATTCATATCTGGCCGGTACCCCCGGTGGAATATGTGAGTTTTAATACAAATTCAATACATAAAATAAACTTCGTAACATAAAGAAAAATTAAATTTTACCACTCGGTTTGTGAATTATGTAAACTTAGGGATAAATTATGTCCTCGCTCCTCATTCGCCCGTGGAGATAAGTTTAGATCTTGCTAAACTCTTTCACCCGGAACCTGTTCAGATAAAACTACTCCAAAAAAAACTACCCGATGATTGAGGGATATCCCTATTTTGTGTAACCTCATTATTGCGAACGTTTTCAGCCTTGACGTACATTTCCAATATTTTTATCACAAGAAGTTCCCGGTATTCATCCAGAGTACTCAAAAAATCTGTTAGAGTTTCATCGTCCTCGATGTTAAACTCAGCATAACAAGCAACCCCTTGCGGATTAACAGAATATGGATATCTTCCGGTTACTTTAATATTAACCGAACGTTTGCTCACACTCATTTTTTTACATAACAACGATACCAATATATCATACTCCATTGTAAGTGAAAACTTAACATGACACTGTGGAGAACAACTATAGCGTACTGAGTTATTCTCCACCACAATATCACCCCCCAATATAATGATACCCTAATTTTTTGCTCTTCGGACATTATGACAAAATGCGAAATAATTTACGAACAAATATTTCGGAAGATCTGAAGGATCCTGAATGGATTTTTACTAAATTCTGAAACTCCTTAAATGAGGAAAAAACCAGCCCGAGGGTACAATTATTTCATGTATAGCGCATGCATAATAAACACTATATATGTAGCGCGTATCCTGCATGCGCTATACCCATATGAATTATTGGTGGGTCAGTAAAGTTCAACTGAATTATTGGTGGGGCAGAAAAGTTGAAATATAGCGCAGTTATTCACCACGCTATACCCTAACGGACAAACGTGTCGTTAAGGTATAGCGCAGTGAATCACTGCGCTATATAAATTGGTAGCCACTTTTTTGGCCACCTATTTTTGTCGTTTGAGCCCAAAAGAACCACACTTTGGTTCCGAACTCCTACTTATAGCATGTTTGGTCAAGCATCTTCAAAGTCAAAAGTACTTTGTCTCAAAAAAGTATTTTTTCAAAGTTGAAGTGTTTGGCCAAACTTTTTGAAGAAAAAAAAGTATTTTTGAGTAGAAGCAAGCAATTTTGGAGAATAAAAAAAGTAGTTTCTCTCCAAAAGCATTTTTTTAAAAAGTATTTTTTTTAGAAAAAAACACTTAAAACTTAAAATCAGATTTTAAAAGCTTGGACAAATACTAATCGCTGCTCAGAATTATTTTTCAAATTAATTAATCAAACACAAACTGTTTCTTACCAAAAGTACTTTTGAGAAAATCACTTTTAAAAAATCACTTATCATTATAAGTTGATTTTGCAGTTTGGCCAAACAGGCTTAATGCTAACCTAATGGAATAGTTAAAGAAATCAAGATGGAAGTACTGAAATCTAAAATATCTCAATCTTCTACTCCTGTCAATTGATTCTCCTTTTGAATTTTGGAAAGTCAAAAACATGAGTAAAGGCGTATAGACCTTAACTTGTAGGCTCGTAATGCTCATTTTTTGATACCTATATTGTAGGTTCCATCATGTACCAAGTCATGCCAGCTCAAGCAAGAACAACTAAAAGATAAATCCATTATTTTTATTGTCAAAAGGCAAGAAATTAAATTTTTAAGTGAACCCGTATAATTCATCGTTCTCTCAGAATAAACAATTAAATATTTTGCAGAATAAGCAACCAACTACGACTAATATATTTATGTCTTAGTCTTTGACAGAATCAGAAGAAAGCAACCACAATTCGGGAGTAGACAGAATTCCAGCATGTGCAAGCAACCAAAAGCACAAAAACAAAATAAAAGCAGAGAATGGGACAGATAGCAAATGTTATCTGTTCTTGAACCTCCTTTCCCCTCCCAACTCCAAAAAAGGCATGTGGCATTACATGAATTATGTCCTTTTTCTGGCCCCAGTTCGTTTCCCCCCTCAAATCTAAACCATTTTAATGTAATGGAAAACAAAGGAATAATAGTAACACATTTCAAACCATACTTTATCTAAAACTTAAAAATAATAGTACATTGTTACACTAATCACCTCTTCTTGTACTTTTCCTTGCCTCTGGAAAAGATAGAGCCCAAACCAAAAAAACTTGGTGGAGGGACATTTAATACTGATTTGATTCTAATATCATTACTGTATGTATTACTTGGAATCTTTCTCAATGGAGGTTTTTGATATTGACCTGTAGATACGGAGAAAGATGATTTATGGGAATGTTGTTTGTGCTTAACACTTGGAGTAGAACCAGTTGAATTACTTCGAGATAAAAGTGGCAAAGGACATAAAGTCCTAGCATAACTAGTACTAGTACTACTACTAGTTCCACAATTCAAACTACGACTACGCTTGAAGTTCCAAAATGACTTTGAGTTGTTGTTCTGCTTTTCATCGTCTAAAGATGATGATGATGTTTCAAGAATCCCACTTTTTGTTTCTATCAATTTTTCATTCTTGAAACATGTGTTACTGGGAGCGACCAACTTATGACTTTTTGCCGGTGACTTTTCTATCTTGTTGGGCGGAAGAGTTGGAGCAATATGCTTTTTCTTCATTTCAATGGGAAGAATCTTGCCATCAAAGAAAAGCTCACCAGCTGAAGAAGATTGATCAAGATCAAAGCTTTGATGTAATACACAAAAATCAAAATCAATACTACTAGAGGAGGATGAATAATTATTAGTTGATCGAATATACTGTTCGACAGGAACAGGAACAGTATTTGTCTGAGAAATGTCATGAGATAAAGAGATACGAGGACTAGAATCATCTGAACATGGTTCAATCGCCATTATAATTGCCTCTCAATATTTTCTTTCTTACTATATACTATATTAAAGGATTTGAAGGAAGAAGTTCTCCAAAAAGATAAATTTAAACAGATGGGGTTGGTCATAAAGAAGGGGCTTAGCTAAGTTTGAAAAGTCCAAACCTAAACTATAAAAGACCAGAATAATTGAAAAATGCAACCGTCAAACTGACCCATGCATTGGAAAAGAAGTTGGACTAGTTTTATTACTAGGGTAAAGTGGAAACTTTTCAACTGCATTCAAATTTGCTACACGCAAAAACTTGGTCAAACGAATTTTCGGTGCAGTAGTAGCACAAAATTACTCCCTTCGGTCAACTTTTTGTCATTGTATTTTGGTCCAAAGATAAGTGTACCTTTAAATAATTAATAAAGAATTAATTTTATTTTTTAATATTTACCCTTATTTATATATTTCAATATGTTAAGGTAACAATATGCAAATTATAATTAAGGGTAATTTTGTCAATATATCTTTTTTCTTTAGGAGTTAATATTTTTTTAAGGGGTGTTCTAAAAACAAAAAAGTCATTTATTATGAACTAAAAGGAATAATGTAAAAGCACAAAAAAATGATGAAGCACCGAAAGGCATTATAGGAGTGGTGAGTTTTGCGAAAAGNATATATATATATATATATATTAGACTATAGTCTTTCACGTTTTGTAATGGCCCTATTGCGTACCCTCAAGAAACAAGTCCACTCAAGATGCAAATAATATCACTATTTTTGTTAAAAAAGAATAGAGAGAATTTTACATTATTGATATACTTAAGTTGAACTTATATTTAAATTTTAAGATAATAAAAAGAAAAACGTCTCACTATCTCACCCTGCACTTTAGTACTATATACGGTCAAAAATCGAGTTTGTCCTTCGTATGACTAATCGAGACTGGAACATGATAGACCAAGGTTCAACCTCGTATAATGTCGAGTCATGATGCGAAGTTAGGTTGCCGAGCTCGTGACCCAGAGACCGATCAAGTTCAAGAGCGGCCAAAATCTAGACCGAGCAAAATAGAGACCGATCAAGATCAAGATCGGCCAAGATCGAGATCAAGCCAAAAAACAAAAAAAGCCGGAATATCCACAATTGGGCGAGAATCTCGGCGAAAATCCCGGCGCATATTAAGGAGAGGCCAATTAATTAATCTATCATGGGATTCCTTACTATTTTTAGGATTATATTGAGAGTAGGACTTCCCTACTATATAAAGGGGGTCTGATCATTTGAAGAAGGGGACATCATTTTTATGCAATACAAAGCAATACACTGCCTTCTTTAAGCTTCATTATTTTGTTACTCTGTTCATATACTAGCGGAATCTTCACTTGGTTCGAGGGTGATGAAACTTGAGGGCCAAGACTAATTGATTCATTTGGTTTGTATTTATTCCTTTTATAGTTAATTTCAGTACTAATCTATATATTTTCTCAATTTGTACCAAATTATATCATGTATCCTTAGAGCCGCGTATAAATTCAATTGTTACCCGTTTTTCGGGTAAACAGTTTGGCGTCCACCGTGGGGCTAAGGATAATAGTGATTATTTGATACAAATCTCTATAAAACACATAATTTTACACTTGCTCTTTGAAGTGTCTTTGATTTTAGGCTAAGAATGACGAACTCTCAATTACTGCCCCTGCATATCGACAATGGATCGGGCCATCAAGGTGAGAATAACAACGTGACGCCCGGTGATGTAAGGCCACCCGCTGACCCCATTGGGACTCGTGTTGTGGATCCGACTGACGTTAATTCACATGTGGCCATCGACGCGAATCACCATACTGGTCCCGAAAACAGCGTCCATGGTGGAACCCGATCTGCAGTTCGAAATACCCAAAATATCGGAGAAGACGGGATCAGCCTATGAATGATCTTCGAAATGTTACAAGCTCAACAGGTGGCGATAGCACAGTTGCAGAGCCAAACCCAGGCACCGAGCAGGGCTGAGCCCGGTCTACCCCAAGAAGTCACCCACATAATGGGGCTAGCCGTGGTAAGGTCAAATGAACAAAAATTGGGGACTAACCCCGAAATTATAAAAATGCTCGAGGAACAGACAAAGCGGATAGAGTCAGGGGAAAAGAAGATCGAAGCAAACGATAAGAAGATGGAAACTTATAACTCCAGGGTTGATCAGATCCCGGGGGCACCACCAATATTGAAGGGTTTGGATTCCAAAAAGTTCGTACAAAAGCCCTTCCCCCCGAGCGCGGCACCCAAACTGATCCCCAAGAAGTTTCGCATGCCCGATATTCCTAAGTATACTGGAACGACTGACCCCAACGAGCATGTCACCTCTTACACGTGTGCCATTAAAGGGAATGATCTAGAGGACGACGAAATCGAATCCGTGTTACTAAAGAAATTCGGGGAAACCCTATCAAAGGGAGCAATGATATGGTACCATAATTTACCACCTAACTCTATCGATGCTTTTGCCATGCTTGCAGATTCTTTTGTAAAAGCACATGCCGGAGCCATAAAGGTCTAGACTAGGAAGTCGGATCTTTTCAAGGTAAAGCATAAAGATAAGGAGGTGCTCAGAGAGTTTGTGTCTCAATTCCAAATGAAACGAATGGATCTACCATCGGTCGCCGATTATTGGGCCATTCAAGCTTTCACTCAAGGACTAAATGAATGAAGCTCAGTGGCTTCACAACAGTTGAAGCAGAACTCGATTGGGTACCTGGCTGTTACTTGGGCCGATGTACATAATCGATATCAATCGAAGATTAGAGTCGAAGTCGACCAGCTGAGGGCTCCTTCCGGGTCCGTTACCAAAGGGGACGTTGATCGAGAACCAAGGTCGAACAGGGATCGATACCAACCATATAATAGAGATCGCAGGGGCAACGGGCCAGGGCATAACTCCGCATGAGGTGTAAGGAGAAATGATCGAGGCCAGAGCTCTCGAGGGCTCATGAGCAAGAATGGTTTCGAGAGTCATACCGGACCTAAGGAAGCACCGCGATTATCGGAATATAACTTCAATATTGATGCATCTGCTATCATATCGGCTATAGGACGCATCAAGGATACTAAATGGCCCCGACCTCTGCAGACCGATCCAGCCCAGAGGAATCCCAATCAAGTACGCAAGTATCATGGCACCCATGACCACATAACAGAAGATTGCAGACAGTTAAGAGAAGAAGTAGCATGGTTATTCAATGAAGGGCATCTTCGGGAGTTTCTCAGTGATCAGGCCAAGAATCATTTAAAAAACTTGGAGTTCAATAGAAAAAATAAGCAAGAAGAACCGCAACACATTATTCACATAATTGTCCAAGTGATCGATGTTCCCCAAGGTCCAGTGTTAAAATGCACTAAGGTGTCAATCATAAGGGAAAAGCGACATCGGGCTCAGGATTTCATACCGAAAGGAACCTTGTCCTTCAACGATGAAGACGCAGAAAGAATCATACAACCCCATAATGATGCACTGGTAATATCTGTACTCATGAATAGGACTCAAGTTAAACGTGTGTTAATTGATCCAGGTAGTTCGGCCAATACCATTCGATCGAGGGTCATAGAACAAATTGATCTACAAGACCAAGTCGTGCCCGCGGACCGAGTGTTAAACAGATTCAACATGGCATATGAAACCACTAAGGGCGAGATAACTTTGCCAGTAAACGTGGCCGGGACCATCCAAGAGACGAAGTTCCATGTGATCGAGGGCGACATGAGGTATAACGCCCTGTTCGAAGATCATGGATCCACAACATGAGAGCAGTGACCTCGACCCTTCACCAGGTCCTAAAATTCCCAATATGAGAGGGAATCAAAACAATCTACGGGGAGCGACCCACTGCAAAAGAAATGTTTGTCGTTGACGAAGTGATTCCGATATCAACACTCTCATCGACGAAGGGGTCAAATTCGAAGGGAAAATAGGAGGCCAAATAGCAATCGCAAACGCGAGCCTCGACCTAACTAGAGAAACATGGGACTGACGAAGATGATGATTATAGGATCCCTCAATCCTTCGTAATCCCCAATGACTCCAACGCTACCAAATCAATGGTCGAAGAGCTGGAGCAAATTATACTAATCGAACATCTGCCCGAGCAAAAAGTATACCTGGGCACGAGGTTAAAACCCGAGCTCAGGAAAAAGCTTATTCAATTTCTTATAGCTAACATGGATTGTTTCGCTTGGTCCCATCTCGACATGACAAGGATCCCATCGGAAATCACCACTCATAAACTAAGCTTGGACCCGAAGTTCCGTCCGGTGAAGCAAAAAAGAAGACCCCAGTCCGAGGTCAAACATGCTTTCGTCAAAGACGAGGTAACCAAGCTTCTTAAAATAGGGTTCATCCGTGAAGTAAAATATCCTAAATGGTTAGCAAACGTAGTAGCAGTCCCTAAGAAAGGAAACAAGCTTAGAATGTGTGTAGATTACAAGGATCTAAATAAAGCATGCCCCAAGGATTCTTTTCCTTTGCCTAATATCGATCGCATGATCGATGCCACGACCGGCCACGAGATCCTCAGTTTTCTCGATGCCTATTCCGGATACAACCAAATACGAATGAACCTGGATGATCAGGAAAAGACCTCGTTCATCACTAAATATGGTACCTACTGCTATAATGTAATGCCATTTGGATTAAAAATACCGGTGCCACTTATCAACGCCTAGTAAATCGGATATTCGAAGAACAAATAGGGAAATCTATGGAAGTCTACATTGATGACATGCTAGTTACATCCCTACGAGCAGAGGACCATTTGAAGCACTTGTAATAACTCTCAGTATATTAAAGAAATACAACATGAAGTTGAACCCGAAAAAATACGCATTCGGGGTCGGGTCAGGCAAATTTCTCGGATTCATGGTATCCAACCGAGGAATCGATATTAATCCCGACAAGATCGAAGCTATCGATGGCATCACGGTAGTAGACAGCGTAAAGGTCATACAGAGGTTAACCGGACGCATGGCCGCCCTGGGGCGAT